GTCTCGAACCTGCGGGCTCAGGCAATCCACTCGCCTCGACCTCCCAAAGTGCTGGGATTACAGGCTGAGCCACCGAACCTGGTTGCATTTCTTTTCCAAACTCTTACTAGGAATCTTCTACCCATAATAGCAACAAAGAGTTACACCACTATTGTGTGCTGGACACAGTTCTAAGCCCTTTATATATTATATATGATCTCATATTACCCTCATAGCAACTCTATGACAAAGGTACTATTATTGTCCTCATTGTACAGAAGAGGAAACTGAGAAGCAGAGAGGCAAAGTAACCAAGGTCATTGTGCCAATCAGTGACAGGCTAAAATCAGAACCAGTGTTAAGTATACTGGCTCTGGGTTGTTTTTGTCTTGTTTCATTTTCAGTAATACTTTAGTAGAGAAAGTATTTCAATTGATAGGAAGTACTAAAAAGTGGATCTAAGCAGCCTATAATGCTTTTCACGTTAGACTTGCAGGCCAGGCATGGCAGCTCAGGTCTATAATCCCAGAACCTGGGAGGTGGAGGCAAGCAGACTGCCTGAATCCAGGGGTTCGAGACCAGCCTGTGCAACTTGGCGAGACCTGGTCTCTACAATAACACAAAAAAATTAGCCAGGCATATGCCTATAGTTGCAGCTAGCTGGAAAACTGAGGCAGAAGGATCGCCTGAGCCACAGCAGGTCAAAGCTGTAGTGATCGTGATTGTGCAACTGGGCGACAGAGAACTGGGCAACTCTAAGAAAAAAACCCAGACTTGGAGTTTTAATCCTAGAGTTTTAATCCTATGGTAAGCATTTTGTAGTAAAAGATAGTTGGGTTACATATAAGTCCTCAATGGAACTCTGGCCTAACGTGTCCTGGTTTTGTTGTATTCTATTTTCCTTTACTTTTTTATCTTTTTATTTTTGAAGGCAACAGGTTGCTGTTCCTACTTGGATTCCTACAGATTGCAGGCAGACTCTTACATGATAATAGAGTCAAGGTCCAGTAACTACCTAACATTTATTTCATTTATTTCATTGATTCATTAGTATAGACTAATCTAGAACTTCTCAAAGGTTTTTTTTTTTATTAAATAATATAGGCTCTTGGCAGCTCACTAGATGTTGCAATAAAAGCAGATTTTGATAAAGTGGGTGGTATCATTGAAAACATAGGCTTCTGAATTAGGAATGGTAGTTTTAGCAAGCAAGGATGCGTGCTGATCAAGGTTATGGATGATGCTTTATATTATGAATGTGTCAGATATCCACCAAGATGAGAATCCATTTTATAAGCAAGTATTTGCTAAGTACAAAACAAATTACATAACTGTAATTCAGCATTCCAATCATATGCATTGTTTTGTTGCAGCATGATTTCTAACTTTTCCTTAGCCTACACACTATGAGCAGGTAGATATTAGAGCCCAGCCAAGAACTATGGAATGTTAGAAACATGATCCTTGAATTATGCTTCTCTTTACCTGCTGGGTTAGAAGTATCCTTCTGACATTTGCAGGATCTGGTCCTTAGCCTCAGGCTCTAGGTTTGAGCAAGAAGGGCTTCATCAGCCTTATCAAATAGCAGTGATGGATAAGCCCAAGGGTTCCTGCCAGGCCTGAGGTCTGACTGAAGCTGCCCCTGCTGTCAGTTGCTCTACAGTCCCCATTGTTCTTCCCAGAACCACCCGGCTGGAGTTACAAGTGCACATCTGCAAGCTTAGCCTCACCAACAGGTTAGTGTATAGAGTTATACAACGATTTTTCCCCTAGCTGTGATCCTCCTAAGCCTCCTGTCTGTTGACCCTGTCCACATGACTAGGCCTTGGCCTAGGTTTTCCTGTCTAGTTCTCCAGTTGCCTCCTGAGACATGACCATATCCAACACCTGGCCTCTCTACCCAGCTGATGACACTCAGTGTTCCAGCATCTAGGGCTGGTCCCAGGCAGACCAAAGCACACAGTAGGCGGAGGAAGCCTAATTGTGCCGACCAAGTCACAGGTGATGAATAGCTGTCAAACTCAGCAGTCTAATCCTCTGAAGGGCTGGCAAGAGAGGTGGGTGTGAGGCCCTCTGTTCTGGAGATTACAAGAGAATAGCAGGGGAACCAGGCCAAGAAAACAAAAGCCAAGCTTCACTTTGCCCTCAGACCTGCTGCACACTCCCACAGCCAAATGCTTCCTTGTGTAATTCCCTGGAGAGGTTTGGCCTACTAAAGCCTCATTTGACCCTCAGAGTCCAGCTCAGATGTCACTGCCTCCCCCACATGGAAGGTTCTCCAACTCCTCGTGCCACAAGCAAAGTCTTACTTTGTGCTGTAGGAAAGGGACTACATTCCATAGCTAATTGTTTGGATGGGGTAAAGGGAGATAATGTAGAGAAGAATATAGGCTTTGGAATCAGACAGGATTTCATATCCCTATTCTGCCACTTAGTGAACTGCAGCTTTGGACAAGTAACTTAAGATGTCCTGAGCCTCAGCTTCCTTATCCTTTTTTTCTTCCCCAGTTGGGTGTCGTCACTCAATTGCCCAGGCTGGAGTGCACAATCATGACTCACTGTAGCCTCAAATTACTGGACTTACGAGATCCTTCCATCTGAGCCTCCTGAGTAGCTGGGACCACAGGGATTCACCACCACACCCAGCTAATTTTTTTTTTCTTTTTGTAGACAAGGTCTTACTATGTTGCCTAGGCTGGTCTCAAACTCCTAGGCTCAAGCAATCCTGCCTTGGCCCCTCAAAGTGTTGGGAATACAGGCATGAGCCACTACACCCAACCAGCTTCCTCACCTTTAAACTAGGATTTTTTTTTTAATCACTAAAAGATAATACTATGTGTTCACCATGCTGTTTATACTTCCGAGGCACTCAAAAAGACAACATTTACCAGCTTTCCTTTCGGTTGAGTTGGTGCCATGCCTGACCCATGAAAATATCCCACCTGGCAGGGCGTAGTGACTTACACCTATATTCCCAGCACTTTGGGAGGCAGAGGAGAGAAGATTGCCTGAGCTAAGGGGCTTGAGACCAGTCTGGGCAATTTAGCAAGACCTTGTCTCTACAATAAATTAAAAAATTAGCCAGGTGTGCTACTATGCGTCTGTAGGTCTAGCCACTTGGAAGACCAAGGTGGAAGGATCACCTGAGCCCAGCAAGTTGAGGCTGTGGTGGCCATGAGTGTGCCACCACACTCCAGCCTGGGTGACAGAGTGAGAATATGACAAAGAAAAACCCCACATGATCTTTGCACAAGCAAGAAATAAAATGTTACTGCTTTAAGCCATTGAGTAGCTGTTAACTGCAGCAGAGCACATAGCCTATCCATGTAAAAATAGGTAAGTAAAACATTTTACATGGTTTGCCTGGCATGAAGTGAAGTAGGTGCCACTACACTTGGACTAGTGTGGTGGTACTAGAGCTGGAAAAAAAATGATGGATTTGAGAATTACTCTGGGGTTAGAACTAATAGGACCAGACCTAGTGATGGTTTAGATATAAAGGGTGTGAGAATGGAAAGTGTAAAGAACTCCAAGTTTTTGGCTTGAGCTGCTGGATGCAATTGGACTATTTACAAAGACAATTTTAAAAAGGAAGAGGAGTTGTAAGGAGAATCAACTCCTATTTTATGCATTAAATCTGAGGTCCTAGTGAGACATCCAAGGGAAAAGACTGAGTGTGGAATTAAGTATGAGTCTGGGAGCAGTTTGGGCTGAAGGTAGAAAATTGGAAGTCATCAGCTTATAGTCGGTATTGAAAGATGTGGAAATAAAGGCCCAAAACCAAGGCCTTAGGAATCAGATATTTCGAGGTCTGTAAAGGAAGAGCAACCAGCAAAGAGGGAGAAATGTTAATTCTCTTCCCTCTCAAGTCCCTCAAGGAAAGGACAGGAACCATTACTTCTGGATGTTGCATCAACTTTTTGATATTAATATTCTAATTTTGTAATTAAGAAATACCTCAAACTAGAAGGACCTAACCCATTGACTCCATAAATACAGTAACTTTTCAGCCCTGTAAATTCTAGTATGTCTTTTTGCTATTGGGATGACTATGCCATGACTGTAATTGACTGTATATGCCTAGAATTTCCGGATTAAGTTCATTCTTATACCTGCTTAAAAAGAACAAGACAGGCCGGGCTCGGTGGCTCAGCCTGTAATCCCGCGCCTTGGGAGGCTGAGGTGAGTGGATTGCCTGAGCCCGTGGGTTCGAGACCCGCCTAGGCAACTTGGTGAGACTTCATCTCTACAATAAATCAAAAATTAGCCGGGCGTGGTAGCATGCGTCTGTAGTTCCAGCTACTTGGAAGGCTGAGGCAGAAGGGTCGCCGGAGCCCAGCAGGTCGAGGCTGCGGTGGGCGGGAGCGGCCACTGCACTCCAGTCTGGGCGACAGAGTGAAACTCCAACTCAAAAAAAAAAAAAAAAAACAAGACAAAAATAATATTTTTAAAAGATGAGTTCATTTTTTTTTTTATTTCTAGTAAGATAAACTTACCTAACAGTGTCCTTCCTTGTTCAGAAGATCAATTTGTGTTGCTAATTATTATCCTATAAAAATGTCCTTTGTGTCATGTGTGAAGTTAGCCATAGATAATTTCATTTCAGTCCAATATAGTAAAGTAAGCATTCACTGAACACCTACTTTAGGCCAGGGACTTGGTGGCAGGGAGAGAAATCAAATGACAGGCCCAGAAGTTTTTTTTAAAACCAGTTTCCCTGGTTCTGTATAGCATAGTATAGCAGAATTCTGAAATCTTAAATTTAGATAGATATCTCAAAGATAACAGCTGTCAATCATTCTTAGTAGCTGTGGTATTCAGAAATTGGGAAACAGTGCTACAAAACAACAGTGTCATTTGCTGGGTATGTCATCATTGGCAAATCATTTAACCCCACTGGACATCTCAGTTTCCTCATCTATATAACTAGAAGGCACATCCACCAAATAGTTGTGAGATTTAAATAAAATGTGTGTGCACAAATACCTTCTACAGAACTGTGAAACAAAAGGTGGCATGTCTAATAACTTTCCTATTCTAAAACACTGAGCAAAGATATTTTTCATATATCCAACAATGATAGCTAGATCATGAGTAAACTTTCTCAACATAGAATATTCTTAGTACCTGAGCTAGACCTCCAGCATGTATCAACGTTATGTCAGGCATCCAGGAGCATCCAGGAACCACTAAACCATAAACTGCAATCACAAAGTAAGGGACAGAATAGAACATATATGCCAGCATCTGTATTGAACAGAGAAATAACATCATCAGTAAATTAGCAGTTAACTTGGCCTGACTAAATATATTTTTAAAAAACGTTTTCACCCTTGAAAATGTTAATTCCTATTTCCTGCATGGGACCACACTTCTCCATTTTTAACAATAAGAGAGAAAATTAATTTTAGAAAAAATCTTAGGCTTCATAACTACCTGACCTGAATTTTAGGATAAGCAGCAGGATCCTTTAGGTAGGGCTCTTGAAGCTGCATATATAATCGGCAGAGCTCAGATGGGCAATCCAAAGCAATCTAAGAACAAAAATAAGTTTATTATGAAAATACAATCACATCTGGTTCTTAGATTTGCTTATAAGGCTAAATGTGCCAGGTTTAGTCACAAGCTGCTTTGCTATTTAACAAAAACTATGCATTGTAGAGGCTCATCAATGAAAGGGAAAGAAAGGAAATATATTGCAGATTTACTCTAAGGAGATTAAGCAGAGGTTAATCATGGAACAAGAAATGGAAACCAATGCTCTATTCTTGGGTACCTGTTAAGTATCTAGGCTTGGCTAGCCAAAGCACAGCTTGCTTTAGACTCCCAGTTTCACTTTTCCTGAAAATAACTAGCCAGTTATTCCCTACAGGAAGAAAAGTACATTTCTACACCAAATTCAAATCTTACTATGCTGTGCAAGATTCAAAAATAGCATCCTCCTCTCTCCAGTGCCTCACAGTATATGGCCTTTGGGGGCAGTAAAGGATAATGATTTGAAAGCAGGGTCCTCTTGTCTGAAGCCACTTCCTGTGTCCACTTTGAAAGAGAGCAGAGCAGATTTAGTCAGTGGAGTAGACTCTAGGCCACAGATTAGACAGTTGTCTCTGGCATACTACTAGGTTCCCTCTGAGTCACCTTCCCCCTTAGGCACCATCCCTCATGTCCAGGCCAATGGCAGAGTGGTAAAAATAGGCCCCATCTACAAAAGCCCACCCACCAGGCATGCACACCACACATACACACATTTTTCTCATATGCACAGGGAAGTGGATATGGCTATGCAAGGATACAGGTAGGGCTCCTGTTTTGTCGTTTGACCTTTAAGATCATGGCAAATTAACCAAAACCATTTCAGTGGCACTGGCCTTGCCTCCTCCTTTATTTCCCCTCCCTGTACCCCTTCTCCTGTGAGCCTACTCTTCTCCAGAAAGTTTCTGACAGTCCACAGATAAAGATAACTCTTAAAACAGCTTCTTGCCGTGAGCCTAGCCAGCTGCACAGGCCTCTTATAGCTCAAGGACCCCAAAACAATAAATTAGCTCCATCAGCTCACGCTTTCCATTCTACTTCCAACTGTTATGCAATGCCAGCAGGCTTAGAATAGTTAGTAATTCTCATTGAAGCTAAATATAATTAACCATATAATTCAGAGCTGCTTGAATTTATATCTACTAAGAATAAATCATGAAACTGGGGCACTGTGAAGGATCGCTGATAAATAAAAATAGTAACGGCAACATTTATTGAGCACTTACTATGTATAAAGCCCTCTGTCAAGTGTTTGATATGCATTATTTTGTTTAATCTTCAAAACAGTTCTATAAGGTAAGTACTGTTATTTTACAGAGAGAACTAAGGGTCAAAGAGGTTAAGTAATTTTTCCAAGGCCATGCAGCTAGTAAATGGCCAGGATTCTAACTTCAAAGCCTGTGAGTCTTATTCTTCACCTCTTCAGTATAATATTAATAAGGGGAAAATAGAAAAAACGAAATGCACTTAATGTCTTTCAGTCACATCAATAGAAAGACTCCAAACCTGAGCTTAATTTACTCAACACTACTCTGACCTATGCGGAATTCACATGACCCTACATTCATGTGACTTGATCTGGTACCCCTTCCTCAGTCCCATCACCCCACTCCTGAGAATACATGGATGCTCTGTGCCACAATTGTATTAAGTGTGGTCTTAGGGTATTACCCTTACCAGAGGTATTTACATTTAAATCAGAAACATCAAAGGAATAAAAAAAAATATGAGACTCTGACGGTTAATTTTTCAGGTGCCCAAAAATAAGAGAAGGAAGATACTTTGGAGTAGAGCTTGATCTAAGGACCTGAAGGAGGTAGTGTATACCAACCCAGGGAGAGCTGCCTCTTGGACATGGGAGGTTGGGTGTGAGGAGCAGCAGGAAAATAGGTCCAGGGCTCCAAACTCTACAGGAAAGAAGTAGCTTGTTTGTTTGCTAAGAAGTCTGATAAAAAAATAAAAAATTTTTTTAAAAGTTTCCATTTGGAAGTATTAAGTATAATAATGTTATGTTATTCTGATCTGTTAGCTTACCAAGCCTCTGAACAGGCAAAATCCAGTTGCTAGGAGGAGACACACGACCAGCATTAAGTCCAACGGTCTTCTCAGCAGGTCCTTTGCTTGGGCTTCTTGAACAACCTGAAATAGAGTTTGTAATTCAAGAACAGGCCTAAAGTACTAAAGAAGAATCTGAAATCTGAAACATTAAATGCAGTGACAATGGATGATGAGAGAATTTTGAAGATTCACAATTCATATAAGCCACTGGCCATGGAACTTTAAGAAAATCATTTCTTCCCTCAATCTCAATTTCCTCACATATAAAATGAAGAGCCTGAACCAAGTATCTTGAAGGGCTCTTCTAGATATGAGTCCACATTTTTTCTTAAAATAACTTTTTTTTTTTTGAGTCGAAGTCTCTCTCTGTCGTCCAGGTTGGAGTGCAGTGGCACACTCACACCCACTGCAGCCTCGACCTGTTGGTTCAGGCAATCTTTCCGCCTCAGCCTTCCAAGTAGCTGGAACTACAGGCACACACATCCACACCTGGCTAATCTTTTTTTTTTTCTTTTTTTTTTTTTTAATTGTAGAGACAAGGTCTCACCAAGTTGTTCAGGATGGTCTTGAACCCCTAAGCTCAGGCAATCCTCTCACCTCTGCCTCCCATAGTGCTGGGCTTACAGCGTGAGCCACTGCACCCGACCCTAAAATAAATTAAGATGATAACACTCATTTGAAAAATTTAAAAAGTAAAGCATAAGCTACCACACTACTATTAATAACTGGTATACTTTCCAGTAATATATAAAAATATGTATATATACACAGACATATATAACCTATATTTTTCACAAAATTAAGGTAGTGTATAAACAAATTCTGTATTTGTTCTTTTTTCCCTCCGCATCTACCCATGTTATAAGCACTTTCCTACTTTTTTTCTTAAGTCTGAGTCTTACTCTGTTACCCAGGCTGGAATACAGTGGCACAATCAAGGCCACAGCTTTTATCTCCTAGGCTCAGGTAATCCTTCTGACTCAGCCTCCCAAGTAGCTGGGGACTATAGGTGTGTGCCACCACATACAGATAATTTTTTGACTTTTTTGTTTGTTTTTTAAGAAATGAGGTCTCACCATGTCACGCAGGCTGGTCTCAAACTCCTGGGTTCAAGCAATCCTCCCCCCTCAGCCTCCCAGAGTGCTGGGCTTACAGACATGAGCCACTGGCCCCAGTCACTTTCCTGCATTTTTAATACCAAATGGAAGCACCATACTTTCTTCTCCCACTGTTAGACATTTTAGGCTTTTTTTTTTTTTTTTTTTACTTACACTGAATGTGATGATGAACAACTTTGTACATAAATCTTTAACAGTGTCTCTCTGATGATTTTCTGAGGATAGGGTCCCAGAAGTGGAATTATTAGGTCAGAGGGTTAAATTTTTTAAGGTTGATAACACTGCCAAATTGCAGAGCAGTTCTGAATGTATATTCCTGTCAGCACTGTATACTAGTGACCATTGGCCATCACTGTGTTTTAGCATTTACTATAATAAGCAGTTCTGCACACCTCATGACATAAGTACTCTATTGACATGCTGACATGGAACTTTAAAAAGCAATGGAGTCAGGATTAAGGGCAGGATTATTATTTGCTTTTTCTTTTTAACAGCCACTTCATTCCTCAAAGGGATATAAAAGAGTACCAGTTGTCAGTGTGCCAGCCTGAGTTTACGTAGCAGGTATCTAACAACTTAACAAATGAAGTATATATAAATTAAAAGGTATTTTAATGAATTCGACTATTAATCTCTGTAAAATGAATAATTGCTTCTGATTATCTCAAGTAATTAATATTTTCATATATCTGTTTTGCTTTAAAGGTCTTGCTAAATGATTTAATACCTGTAAAAGGAAGAGAAACTAGCTTAGAAATGAAGACCTTAACAGAGTACCTTCCTGACCAGTAGTGTTTCACCTTGACCACCTTGGCTGTGAATGGAAAGGAGGTATCTCAGATGTCCTGTAGTCAATCTCTATGGGCCTGGATCTCTTGGGAATCAGACCCTATGGCTGTATAGACTACCTTGAACAGCAGTATCTCTCCAGCATGCTCTCAGGGCAATAAATGCATAGGTAACACAGAAAGAGGTGCCCAGGTGCTCAAAATCCAGGTCTGTAATAACCCCAGACAAACTACACACTCTAGACTTCACTTGGCACACTGATGCTGATCTCATAGTTCGAACCAATGTGACCACTAGCCCTGGAAGTTCCCAAAAGTATGGCGATGCCAACAGAAGCAGATGTATTCAGAGAAAAACAGACCACCTTCGCCACATTAGCTAAGATATAAACTAATGCTACGTCATAAAAACAGTCACACTGATTGAATGCCCCAAATTTTCCAGTTTACAGAGGCACAGTTCAGTTCAGTGGCCTGTGGATCTGAGTTCTGTGAGTTTGAAAACAGTTTACATCAAAACTTAATAAAATCACCTTTGAGGGATAATTATAATTTTCTGGTGGCTGATTATAGATTCTGAAACCAGCCCAAACAGGAAGACAAGTATATGGTATGCTTAAGAAAAAAGCAGGACAAATTCGTGTTCCATACTTCCCTATTTAAAAAAGAGAAAGAGAAAGTCAAAATTTTACCAAAAGCATATTCAACACAAGTAATTTTAGGATACCTCCCCCTCTCAAATCATCTAAAATTTTGCTATCAGCCAGATGACCCCCCCAGAAAAGGCCAGTTTAAAATGATTAGATGTATGTTAACAGCCATGTCCTATCTATAGTATTTTAAAGTATATTTAATATGCTGATTTCCTGCATGCATTAATAACCTCTTTTACTTTAGCTTTCAAGAGTCTTAATTTTCAAGTACATTTTTGGAGTTCTCATAGTGTGTCAGGAGCTATATATTTGCACACTAAATGTATTAAACACCGTACTTACCACCTCTTGATCCTTCTAAAAAGGAATCATTGATACTTAACTGTCTAATTGTTCAAGCACACTTCCGAAAATTGCTCTAAAGTATTTTTTAAAAGATAAAACTAAGAAAATAAAAAGGAATAATTCTGCAAAACAGGTTTTTGGTAAGCTTGGAATCTCTTGGTTCTATTATAATCAAAAGATCTCTATTTAAAAACAATTTCAATTGTCTCAGAAAAGAAAAATGAATTTTAAGATAAAATTTCTTACCTACAATGTTTCCTGGCACAAAAACAACAATGCTCATAATAATAGATCCAACCCAATATAAGCCAATAGTTCTATAACTTTCCCTGTAACAAAAAAACAAAAATCTTGATTTAGTGCACTGGTCTTAGAATACTATTAGCAAAAGATGATCTGCAATATTATTTTCATTCAAATTAGTAAAGTACATAAATCAAAACTCATTGAATCAAGATCAGTAAATGCAAAGAACCCTGGTAATCAAATTTCATTTTTATATGTGATGTACTATAGAACCTTCTTTGTGTCCTTTTAAATAGGAAATTATGCTTGCTACACTGATCTTCTGTTAAACTGCAACAAGGTCTTCACCACCAAAGGAATCCTGCTTTCTCTATATGTGTGAAACTCACAGCATGAAGGGAAGAAGAAAGTTCAAAGAAGAAAGGAAATTGGATCCATATAAATCATTGTAAGTATGGGTAATAGAATGTTAAACGGATTTTCACTGGGGTCACAAAATTTTGGCCAAAGTGTCAAAGGCGAAGATAATAAGTGGTATGGACCCCGTGTTGTAAAGGAACTGCTAGACATGTACTCTTCAATGTTGACAGAAAGTTTTTAAAATTGATAACCCCATAACCCAACTCTATACTAGGTAACAGGTGATGAGAAATTTAAAAGGAAATTCTCTGAGGGGAAACAGAAGTAGACAACACCATGTGCTTCCTGTTGCACCCCAGCTCTCAAGTCAATGCAGTGGGACCCCAAGAGGCCCATTCACAATGACTGGGATTGTCAACAGGAGGACAGACAATAATTAGCTGAAACTGCCCTTGAGTGCATAATTTCAGGGGCAGGTGGGTGGTAGTTGGTCAAACTGCATTTCAACCTTGTGTGGGGCAAGAATGTGTGATTTCCACTAACTTGGAACCATGTGGAAGCCTGGGAAGGTAGCTGGGTTTGAGACACCTCAAAAGGATCCCTCCCCACAGGGTGCACCTCTGGATTGCAGGGACCCCAGCAGAAAGAAACTGTGGGTGTACCACCATGGACAGAGGAGTCAGAAATTCATCCAGAGCTGGGTGCGGTGGCTCACACCTACAATCCTAGCACTTTGGGAGGCCGAGGCAAGAAGACTGCTTGAACCTAGGAGTTCAAGACCAGCCTAGGCAACAAAGTGAGACCTCGTCTCTACTAAAAGTCAAAGCCAGGCGTGGGGATGCACGCCTGTAGTCTCAGCTACTCCCAAGGCTGAGGGGGAAGGATCGATCGCCTGAGCCCAGGGGGTCAAAGCTGTGGTGAGCTGTGATCATGCCATTGCCCTTCAGTCTGGGTGACAGAACGAGACTCCAACTCCAAAAAAGAGAGAGAAGTAAGAGAGGAGAAAAGGAGAAAGAGAGGGAGAGAGGGAAGAGAAGAGAAGAGAAAAAGAGAAAAAAAATTAAGCCAGAGAGTATAGAGAGCAGACTGCTCACTGCAGGGATTGGGAGAATGCAAAACCCCCATATATGTGCCTCTCAAGACTCAGCTAGCATATAGTGATAGAGAAACTGACCCCCCCCCAATAGCAACTATCACGAAAGGCTCTGTCCCTCTCCCTTTAAGCCCATGGACATACATGTGCACTCCCAGAGAAGCCAGCTACAGGATAAGGTGAGAGGACTAAGAGGACAAGCCATTAACCTGGACCTTGTGCAGACTCCCAAGCCTCAGAATACACCTGAACCAGGGGAAAGAAGCTGTGAGCTGAAATGAGACTGAAGTTTTGAAATATTGAAGTTTAGCATGTGCTTGGCTTTAATTCCTGAAAATAAGACTGTTCTTACAAGACCCCTTATTAAAAAAAACTAAAGGGTCTGCCCGAGCTGTCACTGTGGTGGGCAAGCAATCCAAAGGGACATGTTCACAAGGCAGTGGTACAAGGAAGATAATTCCATGTCCAGTGTGTACCCATGGAGCTTATATAATGTCCAGGTGTACCTGTTTATGTATGGCTCCTGTGCACGTTTCCTTACATACCCGATTATCGGTTGCTAAGGTGGCAAAGGCACACACCAGGTGAACTGACTTACTCCCATGCGATGGCTGCCACCATCACCAGGTACATCAGATAATGAGCAGAGCCATCCCAGTAGCAGATCATGTGCCCATATGCAGTGTTCAGATATGGTTCACCCTAAAAAAAGCATGAAAAAGATGTCCACTTTAAATGAGACTCAAGCATTTGAATGCAGAACCAGGCAAATGTTGCGAGTTAAATAAAACAGCAGAACTAACTTGTGCTAGTCTGCTGAGATTATTCCTACAAAATTGGTAGGAACATGAAATGATAACTTTATGCTGGAGCTGCCAAAACCAGTTCTGGCCACAGAGGATGGAATTGGAGAATGCCTGGCCACTTGGTCTCTGATGCATCAACACAGGTTTGTACTATAGTACAATGTAGATGGTGTTATAGGTGGTTCTGACCGTACGGCAGACTCACTGAGGCCAAGACAAATCTGAGACAAAAGGTGTTTGTGTATGGCCAGAGTGGTGACCAGGAAAGACTCCGCTCACCAGAACCACTAGCTGGCATTAATAGTTCGCTGATCCTGTGGCTTGCTGGACTTGACATAGGGCTGGCATTCATTTCCTACATACTAGCACAGAGATGGACTGACTGGCACTGAACTCAAAGCTTCACACCTATCTTTCTTCCCACTTTCCCAATAACCCTATGGGGTGGACAGGATTGCCTCCATTTTACAGATGAGGAAATAGAGGCTCCAGGAGTTTACAAGACTTGCCTACGGCCACATAACTAGTATCTAGCAGAAACTGTACTACCAAAAAGAGCCATACTTCTGGGAAATTTTGAATTTTATGAGCACAAGATAATATGATAAACTACATTTCCCCTTTCCAGGTGGTTACGTTTCTGGGTGGCTACTAGAAATCACTGTCAAATCTGTGTGAGTTAGTGTTGCTCTAGCTTCACCTTGTCCTTTCTTCTTTCTCCCATGTTCATACTCTCTCAGCTTGTTTTACATGTCTCCCTAAGATGCCTTAAGACGTTTCTACAAGGAAGAGTGCAGATCACCCAGCCCATCAATCATCCAACCAACCAGGACATTCTCTGAAGCTTCGTGCTCCCCTGGGGCAAGGACTGCTCTGTCATCTGTCCCACAAACCAGATCAAACTAAAATCAGAGGAGGAGGAGGAAATAGCACCAAAGTTGAACTTCTCCACCCATGCCTGGCCCACGTCTTTTCTTTCTGGCATCCTCTGACTGAAGGATACAACCGATTTGATGGTTTCAGTGTTTCATGACTACATATCTGGCTCTCAGAGCCAGAACTGGCTTCTTCTGGTAGCTTGATGGACATTTTTAACTGGATGGTCCACAGGCTCTTCAAACTCACCTGAACTCCTTTATTTCATTAGCTTCTCCCCTCAGCCAACCTCCACCTGGCCTCTCTATACTCTGGTGTTACCACTCAACTTACCCAGGCCAAAACCTCAGGGTCATTTTTATTCCCCATCCTCCTATCCTATAAATTTTATCTCTACAATGTCCCCTCAGGCAATTCTCCCCCTTTGCCATGGCCTATGTCAAGCCCTAGTGTCCCTCACTGGACCACTGCTACATTCCCAAAGGATCTCCCTACCTCTTTCCCTTCCTTCCAACCCACCGTACTCCTGCTGCCAGATGATAGCCTGCTTCTTAGCAATGTTGCTCCTCTACTCTAAAATTTCCCAAAGCTTGTCACTGCCCACTGAATCAAGCCCCATCTCCTCTATGTGACAGCCAAGTCCCCAGAGCCTGACTCTGCAGACCTTCCCACTGTTACACCCCAGTCTCCCTTCTCATACCCCATCTGCCCCAATGCTTGCCACACTCACCAGCTCCACTTCCAGTCCTCTCAGCAGCCACTTCCTTCCTGAAACCTCCCTCATCTGGGCTCAGTGGCCTCCACTCTCACACTTTCCTTCTGCCTCTTTGCCTGCCCCCACAGTCCACTTCAGGGCTCCTTCTCATCTGGTCCTGGTCGCCAAAGCCCAAACCTTAGCCCTCTCCTCTCCCCACTTTCACCTGGGCAAGCTCCTCTCCCCTCAGACCTTCCGATACCAGCTACACTCAAATGGCCCCAAAATCTCTCTACCAGGACTGTACCTCAGAGCTCAAGACCTGCAAAGTCCTGCTGGCTGAGATGCCTGCTAGGATGCCCCTCAAACACCTGAAACTCCACATCTCCACATGAACTCAGCATCATCCCTGCAGATTTGCACCCCAGGGAAAGATACTTGTTATTTGTCCTCTCTAAGCCTTTGCCCAACCTGTCCCTTCTCTTTGGAATGCCTCCTACCTCCCTGGTCCATCCAAAAATGTGGTCCAATATCTATTGCCATGTTATTTTTTAAAAACACCATAGCAGTGTTACCAACTCAATGAGACCCTCCCCCACTGCTCCCAGAGTTAATTCCTCTTCTGTGCACTTCTGTGCCTAGAGTGAGTCTCCATCACGGTACTTGGGACAGTGCCATCTCGCTGCCACATCAGACAGTAAGTTCCTAGAGGACAGGATGCAGGTCTTCTGACCTCAGAGTCTACTTCAACAAATGTCTGCAGAACCAAATTCCTCCTCTCATCCTTCTCTAGTTTCATAATGCCATCTTCCAAATTCCAAAGCAGGAATCAGGAAGTCACCTCAGGCTTTATGCTCCCCATCACCCTCAACTTGTCCCTAAATCCTGCTCACTGGCCACTCACATTCTCTGATGTTCATCTCTCTCTGTTTCCCATGTGCTGCCTCTGCCCGGGCACCTTCCTGCCCTTGCTGGCCCAACAGAAGCCTCCTGACTAATGCCTCAGCTTGTGGCATTGACCTTTCCCTGCAAGTGCCCCCTCCCTGAACTGGCTGCATTCTTCACTGACTTAAAAATCTTCCCTCACAGACAGGACACAATCCAAACTCCCTTAGCTTGCATACAAAGCTCGCCATTATTTGAAACATGGATGAAGACTATGATTTCAGCCCTGCTCCTTATTTCTGGAGTGACCTTGAGTAAATAATTTAACCTCTCTGGAGCTGGACTCAACCCACCACAAAATAAGAAAATAGAACAAGCTCTTTCAGGTACCAGGTAGCTCTATCATACTATGATTTGGGGTGGTGGGGGTATTAATCGCCCACAAATGACTTTATTCAGTGCCTCAGTGTTGGCACTTTACAAATTTAAAACTGACTTGGGCTTTCTGAGAGCAAAGAAAGCAGCAGTTTAAAAAGCAGTTTCTGGCCAGGCTCAGTGGCTCAGCCTGTAATCCCAGCACTTTGGGAGGCCAAGGCGAGTGGATTGCCTGAGTCAGCGGGTTCGAGACCCACCCCGACACTTGGAGAGACCTCGTCTCTACAACAAATCAAAAAAATTAGCTGGGCATGGTAGCGCACGCCTATAGTTCTGGCTACTTGTAAGACTGAAGTAGAAGGATCGCCGGAGCCCAGCAAGTCACGGCTGCGGTGGCCGGGAGCGTGCCACTGCACTCCAGTATGGGCGGCAGAGTGAGACTCCAACTCAAAAAAAAAAAAAGCAGTTTCCCAGGAGGTCATTACTAAGAGCATGGAATTAACCAATAACAGAAAGTTTTTATTTTCCAGAAGATGCTGTGGACACTGTCAACATAGACATAATGTATTAACAGACACACAAATACTAAATTCATTTAAAGTACCTCACTGATAGTAAATACAAATGAAGGGGAAGAGTAGGTCATGTGTTGGGTCAGGAGTGAGGGAGGAGGTGTGAAAGCTGAATATTGAAGAGAATTGCCTTCCATGATTCAGTCTTACCTTTCTGCTTCCCTTTCCGTGTGAATAAGCAGACTAAATCTGTTACAGGAAATGAAATGCTATGTAACATACCTGCATACACTACATGAGAGGGTTTCTGTCTCTGGGTAATGTGGTCTGGGTTGCTGGCCCTTTGGCTTAGACCTCATCACCATTAAGCAAGCCCGTACCTCTCTCAAGTAGTATGTCATGAACCCGTCAATGATTCCATCTTGCTCCAGTCCTATGATGAGGTTCACCACGCTAGTAAATCCAAAAACTGCATACACTAGAACAAAGAAAGCAGCAGTTTAAAAAGCAGTCTCAGGAGACCATTAGCCAATAATAACAATGTTTTTAACATTTTCCAGAAGATGCTGTGGATACTGTCAACATAAACTAACAGAACACCCAGCTAGATCTCTGCCCATGTTCACGGATCTCCCCCAAATACTCTCACCAAGGGAACCCTCATCTTGGGAGTATAGAATGACAAAGTCACAGCTGACTCTTTCACAGAGCCACCCCCACCTATCCTCCACTCCCCTACAAGTGGCTGCCCAGAGCCAAACCCATGTCCCACATGGGCAGCAGGAGCAAAACCAGTAACCAAGTGGCCAAGGAAGCAGAGAGGTGACCACCAAGTTTAAAAGAATGACTTGCCGGGCTTGGTGGCTCAGCCTGTAATCCCGCACTTTGGGAGGCCAAGGTGAGTGGATTGCTGAACCCGCGGGTTCGAGACCCGCCTGGGCAACTTGGTGAGACCTCATTTCTACAATAAATCAAAAAATAAGCTGGGCATGGCAGCGCATGCCTGTAATTCTGGCTACTTGGAAGGCTGAGGCAGAAGGATCGCCGGAGCCCAGCAGGTCGAGGCTGCAGTGGCCGGGAGCAGCCACTGCACTCCAGTCTGGGTGACAGAGTGAGACTCCAACTCAAAAAAATAAAATAAAATAAAATAAAATAATGACTTAGACAAAGTGATTCATCTCAGTGACTACCAAGCAGGCCAGCTCATAGTGTGTCCAGTGTGTTTGCCCTATTCCACACTGGAGACCCTAAAGACAGACAGGTGACAGATGTGCAAGTGACAATGGCTTTAAGAAAAAAGGCCAGCCAGGCTCAATGGCTCAGCCTGTAATCACGCGCTTTGGGAGGCTGAGGTGAGTGGATTGCCTGAGCCTGCGGGTTCGAGACCTGTCTGGCCCACTTGGCAAGACCTCATCTCTACAATAAATCAAAAAATTAGCCGGACGTGGTAGCGCACGCCTGTAGTTCTAGCTACTTGGAAGACTGAGTGGAAGAATCACTGGATCCCAGCAGGTCGAGGCTACGGTGGCCGGGAGCGTGCCATTGCACTCCAGTCTGGGTGACAGAGTGAGACTCCAACTCAAAAAAAAGAAAAAGAAAAAAGGCCAGTGATTTAAAAAAATAAATACAAGACAGTACAATTGAATATTAAAGAAGGAAAACTTGAGCATCTTAGAGAATCCTATGAGAGTTGTGAGCATCTCCTAAATGGACTTAAAACTACCAGTCACAAATAGCTAAGGAATAATACTTTTTAAACAGTGGTGTTCAAATTTAGTGCATGCTAGTTTGCCAGAGCTGCATTTTCAAGTTATAACAAATTGGCATCTTAGATTATGGGATGGACATGGACAGCAGAAAAATCTGATGGCAAATGTAAGAAAAGCTGTGAAGAAAGAAATGCAGAGGAGTGTGGGGGATGGCTAATTCAAAAACAGAGCAGGGAAGCTGGCCTTGCCCAGAGTCTGCAGCCTTGAGTCCGGTGTCTGCATTTTTCTCTGAAGGAGCGAAAGGCCATGCATTCCATGTCTTGCAGATGTGCCTTCCCCAGGCCGCTATAGAGGCCTTTGGCCCAGTTCTCAATGACAGTGTCACTTTCTGACGCTCATATTTTAGAAGCCTTCCAGGTAGGTAGCCATCAGAACGTCTCCCGGGAAAGGAAGTGTTCAGCACTTAATCTAATGACTGCTGATGCTGACACGAGTGTCAGACTCTGTGTTAGAGATGACAAGGACACAGTCTCTGCTTTCAAGTGGGCAAAGAGTTTGGTCTGGGGCCTGACCCTGAGGTTGTGGTGTGCTCAGAGCTGTAACAGAGACCAGGACAGACAACTGCAGGTACAGGAGAGTGGATACCCAAGTCTTGAGGAGTCGGGAGAGAGAGAATAGTTAGTGTGGGCTCCATGGAGTGGGGAGGGGGAGGAGGGATGCAAGAATAGCCTGGAGAGGTATGCAGGGGACAGAGCAAAGGAAAGCAAAGTCGACCAGGAAAAAGGACATCTGAAGTCAGATGAGCCCAGCTCCTCTGTGAACTGATTGGGAAACCTTAGGCAAGTTACACCATTTCTGTAAGCTTCACAGTTTTTTTGGTTTTGGGGGGGGTTTTTTAGTTGGAGTCTCACTCTGTCACCCAGACTGGAGTGCAGTGCCCACTCCCGGCCACCGCAGCCTCGACCTGCTGGGCTCCGGTGATTCTTCCACCTCAGCCTTCCGAGTGGCTGGAACTACAGGTGCACGCTACCACGCCCGGCTCATTTTGATTTATTGTAGAGATGAAGTCTCGCCAAGTTGTCCAGGCGGGTCTCAAACCCGTGGGCTCAGGCAATTCACTCACCTCAGCCTGGATTATAGGCTGAGCCACCGAGCCCAGCTTGGCTTCATGGTTTTTTATAAGTGGGTTGGAAGAAACTAGTTACTCACAATTCTTTCTCACCCCTGTGGGCAGAAAATGCCCCCTTCACTATGGATGCTGGGCTCTGCCCTACAACTTATTTCGGCTAGTGGAATAGGGGTGGGAATGACAGTGAGCAGCTCTGTGCTGAGTCCTTAAGAGATACCACTTTCTTTCCATTAGTTGCTCTGTTCCTCTGTATCTGCCATGAGAAGGGCATACCCTGAGGGAGCTGCTGGTCCAAGGACAAGGAGACACACAAAACAGCCCTGAATCCGGCCCACAGCCTGATGCAGAGTGACCCCAGCCAACCCACAGAACTGTGAGCAAGAAAAATTTATGTGTTCCTGTAGGATTTGGGAAGTAATTGATATGCAGCATTACTGAAGCAAAAAATAAAGAAGAAAATGCCCAGCAAAGTGCCCACCACCGAAAGCACTCAAAGGCCAATAACAGCTTTGCCTGGGGCAACATTCATGATTAAAGGGCATGGGTATTGGGGGTCAATGCTGGGCTCATTAGCCACATGACCTTGACCATGTTTCTTAACATCTCTGAGCCAGTTTCTTCATTTTCGAGTGAGGGAATGTGAGGATTAAATAAAATAATACTGCTCATGTGCTCAGAGCCATACAAGGCACAGAATAGGTGCTCAGTCAGTGGCATTTTTATTTATTTAACATACACATGTATTTGCCAGGTCCTGCTCTAAGTACTTTACAAATATTATCTTATTTAATGTTTATACCAGTTCTCCGTGGTAGGTACTATTATTTTCCTCTTCATGCAATTTCACAGACTGAGGCACTGAACAATTAAGTTCCGTAGGTGAAGGGGACTGTTAGTAGCAGGCTGAAGTCAGGAAGCCTAGGAAGGAGCTGGAGAGTTGAGGCCAGAGGTCAGAAGTTGAGGCCAGAGGTCAGAGGTCAAATGATGCTGGAGGTTGTGGGGGTGAAGAATGGAGGAGTTCTGTGATAACAACCCTCCACCAGGATCTCCCCTGGAAGCAAGAGGAGCCCACAGCCTGAGAGAGGAGATAGCTTGGAGGTAAGGGCCACTTCGTCCTGAAACACCCCTATACTTTCAGCTGCTGCTACCAGTGGGCTCCAAGAACTCACAGCCAAGGAGGAATATGTGACCCAGGCCCAAAGTATTATGTTATTAAGCAGACACAAATGATTTCCCTCCACAGAGACATACCATAGAACAGTGGGTCCCGGGGTGGTTTTCTTTTGACTAGGACACGAGCCAACAGGGCTACCAGGAGCAGGATGAGGGCAGCAACCCCTACAATTGTCCAGGAACTGCAATGACCAGAACAGGGAGGTGGTCACTATCAAAATAAACACATTGGTGCCTGGAATTTCCTGACTATTGAATGCATTCATTCCCAGCACTGCATAATTCATACATAATACTGCCTCTGCCTGCAGCTCATGGCATTGTAGAGTTAGTAAAGTTTATCTGCAGCACTTTGGCCCATCTGGGCTGCAGCCTTGACCCTCAGGGAACGGAGCCATCAGGCCCTCCTCCTCTTATCCTACCTACCTGTCTCACATGCACAGACTGTATGTCTGGAGCTCCCTCTGCCCCACCCTACCCTGCCCTGTAGTTCCATCTGCTGCTCTGCTGCCTCTACCTCCAGCCCCTGTTCCCCAGCAGCTGACAGGCTAACCATGTAATCTGGCACCTCCTTCAGTGTCAGTCGGAAACCCTCACACTGAGCTCCACGGCATATGCAGGCATTACAGCTACACATGCCTTCCAGGGGGACAAGAAAAAGGGACCATGTGTTGTGTATAACCAAAATGGGCCAGAGGCTGAAGACAGGAATCCAAGGAGGAGAAGAGTCTGGGCTAGACCTGGGGCAAGAACAGAGGCAGCCCCACACCCCACACCCAGGGCCAACAGGCCAGCATCCAACCCCAAACCATGAAACCCAAGCTGAGACTTGTAGGGCACATCCCCTGGACCATCTCCAGGAAAAGGAATGGCATCAAAGAGACCAGGGGCTGAAGCCCCTACACGGTGGGGCAGCACTAGGGCATGAGGCCTGGTAGAGTTAGCAGTCAGAAGACCTGGGTCCTAGGACCCATGCTACTCTGGCTGTGTGCCCCTACGAAAGTCACATTATGGCATTCATCTGTTTATTAATTAACTGAAAAACATATTAAGGACAAAAGTGTATTGTGCACCCCTATGTGGCAGGAACTATTACAGGCCCTAGGGAGATCAGATGAACAAGAGAGGTTCCTATCTACATAGAGGGACCTATCTCAAGGGGTCTGAATTCTACCACCCAGGAAGTCACCCTCTCATACCTCCAGCAATGACAGGGCTTCCAATTCTAGACAAAGAACCGTTTGGCCCACTCTGATGCCCTGCTACACAGCCTCCTCACACCCCTTAGAGCTGCCACAAGTACCAGTCCTCAGCTAAAACCTCTCCACCCCATCACAGCCCAACACTAGGACCTTTGGGTAACCTTTGTCATATGGCACTGTGAGAGATAAAGAGAAGGACCGAAGGCGGGGTGGAGGGAGGACAAATGGATGGATAGATGGACAATGGATGAATGGATGGATGATGGATAGACAGATGATAGATGGAACAGTTTCATGATGAGAATGAAGATGGCTCTGTCAGTGTCCACGTGAGAAGCCAAAAAACAAGAGGTTTCTCGTGTTGCACATCAGTGGAAACTCCAGGTTCCTCCTGTGGGGATGAGCTGAAGAAGGAGGAAGCTAATGAGGGTCAAGTGCCTGGTGCTGGGCTGATGCATCCGTGATGAGGAAAGAGGTGGGTGTGCTGGGAGAGATGACAGGCGTTTAATAATGAACCGCCTGAGGCAGGAGGTGGTCAGGAGACAAGCTCCATCCCTGCTCCTACCAAGCCTGAGCTCACAGCCAGCATGATCCCATGGCTAGTGCTCTTCTGGAGTACAAGAAAACAGTGTAAACTGGTTCACAGTGTCCTTTCATGCTCTTCACCTCTGCGCGGGGGAGAATGGAGGGAAACTGGGGCAGCAGATCCTCTCTGCCTCCTGGAGTTGTCCCCAGAGACCCCCTCACAAAATCCAAGCACAGGACCTGCTCAGAACAGGAACAGGTCCAGCAGGAACCAGGGTGGATGGGTAAGGGCTGCGACTAACCCAGGGGTGAAAAAGTTGCTGGTCTCGGGGTGGGGTAGGTAACTGATTCCGGACTATGAACAGATACCTACAGAGAGGGGATATGTATAGATGCATGTGAGCACAGAGAGAGAGAGATCCCAACCCTTTCCCGACCCCTCAACCTAATTTGCTTTTTCTGCTTTTCAGCCTTTTGTGAAAGGTCCAGTGGAAAGGAAGCTCAGTTTAACAAAGTCAAATGTACCTGAGTGCCAACTATGCATGAGACACCAGGCTGGGCAGAAGAATACCAAGGGGAGTGATGGCCTGGGGAGGTACATTCTGACCACAGGAAAGTAAGTCTTGTGGGAAGGGTGCAATCAAGGGACTGAGGAGGCTCCAAGCGGGGGGGGGGTGGTACAAAAGGAAGAAGTGGTGTTTTACTCTGGGCCATGAAGTCTAGTCCGGCTTCCGCAGTCAGGGAAGGAAGGGAGGCAGCATCCCAGGCAGAGAGAACAGCATGAGCAAGGGCAAGGAGGCAGGAACATGTAAAGAGTGTTCAAGGGGCAGAGCTAGTCTGGCGTGGCTGAAGCACTAGCAGGGTGGGCCGGGGGACGGGAGCTGAGGCTGAGAAGCATGCAGAGGTGGTGGCAGGGGGCTGGTACGGGAGCCTTCACCACAGTCCAGGTCAGGGAGGGCCAGCACCAAGGAGAACTGAATAGGGAACAGATACTAGACAAGCCCCAGGACTTGTGGGGAAGCGGACAGTGGGAGGAAGGGAGTGGAGAGAGAAGAGAGTCAAAGGCCACTGGAATTTTAACGTGCAGGAGGACGGGAAGAATGGTTGGAACTAATTGTGAAAACACTATAGGACTTAGCAGTGCACTCAATAATGCACAGCAATACCTAACTCGGTCTGTATTCAGTAAATGCCACCACCGTCTTCCCAGTGGCTGAGGCCAAAACCTGGAGTCATTCTCAAATCCTCTTTGCCGCCATGCAAGCCTTTGGTAAGCACCATCTGCTCTCCCTCCAAAATATCTGCCACACCCAGCCACTTCCTTCCCCTGCACTGCTCCCTGTGTTCCTGCCTGAAAGGCCCTCTCCCCAGATCCTCCTGTAGCTCAAATATCACCTCCTCCAAGAAGCTTTCCCTTGACCACCAGCCCCCTTCCCAGTCACCTTATTCTGTTGTCTTCATAGCATATCTCTTATCTATTTATGTGCTTGTTGATGTCTGTCTCAACACATGCCTCCACAACCTTTTCTGGCATGTTCATAGTTATGTTCCCAACACTTGCAACAGTGCCAAGCACACAGTAGGCACTCAGTACATATTCAGTAAGCTTCTCATAATGCCATTTTAGGAACGCAGGGTTCCCTGTGCACTATATTGGACAGGCACGTCGTCTGAGGCCGCCCAGAGCTGCTTCTTCCAGAAGATACACCCAGAGACTGGGTCAGGTCAAGGATAGACACTGTCAGTGCCTAGTGCTCACTCAGTCTGGGTGCTGCCTGAACAAGGTGGCCATAGCAGCAAAGAGGAGGAAGTTACCACCCTGGGTACAGACACTTTTTGGCAGCCGGAACATTTGAAGGGGGTTTGCAGCCTACAGACTGATGCAATTTCCTTAGCACCAACTGCTGAGAAACATAACAGGTTGCTTCCTCCTTCCCCCCAGACAGCAGCCAACATCAGCAGGCACAGAAGCTCGCGGCTTTTCCACCGCCCTCCCAGGCCTCCAGCTGCTTTTGCGGGGTGGTTAGTGATCCCCGCGTTGGAGTGAGAGGCAGGCCTGTGAACCCAAGCCTTGCGCCTCCTTCTGCCCCCCTCCCACGCCTTTCCTAAGCACTGAACTGCTCTGCCTCTGCTCCCTGTCCCCATCCCACCCCAGCGAAGACACTTGGAAGCTCTTCTCTAGTCACAGCGCCCCTTCACAAACAGGTCTCCTTGGATTCCTGCAGTAGGAGCAAATACGGTCCACTTGACAGACTGGAAAACTGAGGCTAGGCCACGCCGTCAGTGCCAAGGCCAGGCCTAGAACCCACGTCTTCGCCTGTTGGTTCGGGGCTATTTCTGCTAGTCATTCACGGCAGTTTCTAAAATTAATAGGAAATGATAAGTATGCGAAAGTCCATACATGGAAGCGTTCCTGTGAAATGCGAAAGGAGCAAGGCACACTCGCGATTACAGCCAGGCTCCTAGTTCCCGTGTTTGTTCCGCACCTCACTGGCCCAGAGCTCAAGGGCAGGGGCATTGCCGTATTGACCTCTGTAACTCCCGGTAACCGTCCCGGTGCCTGGCACCAGATCCCGGATGGCGCCGCCTGGGCGAGGACCTTGGCCCGTGAGACCCCCGAGACGCCTCTCGCTTCGGGCCGGGCGCGAGGAGTCCCCGGAGTCGCGAACCTACACCCCGCGGCAGCGGTCCGAGCCCCAGCTGAAAAGTTGCCCGGCTTCGACCGCGCCGAGCCCACTCTGCCGCCCCTCGGCGCGACCCCGCCGCGCCCGCTCACTC